CTGATCGGTACCGCCGAACGCACCTCATTATAGAATCTAGAAAGTAACTTCTTTAAATAGCCTTGTGGAAGGAAGGAACATCTATTCCAATTTTCATCTGCTAAGAAAACTGAAATGATGGAAAATTGGAAATTTCTCTGTGCTTTAGCCTTCACCCTTCAGGTACGTAAACATTACGTTTGATAGTTTCTGGCTTTCTGCACAGTGCACTGGAATTGAGTATTTATTTTCGATTGCTGAATTGGAATTGCCGAATGCAGAATGCTTCAGATCTGCAATTTGGAACCATTTAAAATTAGTGCATGGAATTGAGTTTGAGTATTTATTTCATTATTTCATATTCCTAATAATGGGATTGTTTGAAAATGTACAGCTGCCTGTGCTTAAGGACAAAATTGTAAAATTGTTCATTTGTTCGAATTGTAGAATTATGTCAAGGTTAAAGATAGAAACAGATGAAATGTTAGCTTTGAGAATTTAGCCATCAGCCATGTTAAATTTTGAAAATGAGTGTTTCGTCTGTGCTTAATACATATGATAGGAATTGTAGAATTATATAAGCTTTGGGAATTTTGAATGTTAGCTCAGGTGCATTTGGCTATTTAGGAATTTAGGAAATGTTAGCATTGAGAATTTAGCCATGTTTAATTTTGAAAATGAGTGCTACATGCTTAACATGAAATGAAGCGTGTGAAGACGGAACTTAGTAACAAAATGGAGGATGATTTTCTTGCTGGTTGTTTAACACTAAACATTGAACGAGAATTTAATATAAATTTAGACTTAGATTTTATTATAGATGAATTTTATGCTATAAAACATCTCCGGTTACAACTGTAATAGGTAACGTTATATTACGATTTTTTTTGTTATATATAAATTTTATTCGTACATTAAATTTTAAAAAATTTTGTCTGTCGTATCATTAATTCCTGGCTCCGCCCTTGATTTAGTCTTATAACGTTTATATACCCTTTGCTTGATTTTGCTAAAAATCAAATGTTTTAATAAAAGTTGATAAAATGTATTATTGAAAAATTGATAAAAATTGTGAATTCCATGAAACGCAAAGTTAAAAATAATAGTTGACTTTAACTTAAATTTTTATCAACTTTTTTAGCTAAACTACATAGGCATGATTTCAAACATCACCCAAATGACGTAATCTACAAGTGTGAAATTATTCATTAACATTGGTGAATAAACGCAGTCTAATTTGCAGTGAAGTCACTGTCTCATTGGACAATGAAAATACATATTTTAACTTTATTAAACAATGTAGTGAGTGATCTCATTACCACATTTCCAATTCAGCAATGATTGACCTATACAGTTAATTAGACTAAACAATTATTGCTGATACAACCTTAACAGAGAACATTCCTACCTTTTATTATTATTGTCACCATAAAATCTAAATCACGTTATAATCAAATCACAATTGAAATATATTTTTAATAAATACGCCACAATAAATTTACGATTATACTCCTAATATGATAATAAAAAAAACATTGTGGTGTATTTATCCTCATATTTGACAATGAACAATGAATTTAGATGAATTTGTTGTATCAATAATTGCATCCATTCTCGCTTTAAATTTTCGACAGTTAATTCTCTACTATGATAGAATCATACAATTGTGCCGGTAACAAGCTTTATCAAAAAGTAGAAACAGAAAAGTTAAAAATTGAGGCTGATTTTGATTTTTGAGAAACTCCCAAAGTGCAGAGAATCTACTAAATTACCCTTTTATACACAAATGTAAGGGAAAAAAAAGCCATGGATTCAAAATCAAAGTGTGCTTGCCAATATAATTGAATGACATACTAAGCCCTAAGTTATTCAAACTTAGTCGGCGGCCTTCAAGAACAGATTGCTTGGTGACTGTGATGCATCCATTCATTCTAGCGCATATATATACATTTATCCTAATTAATTCTCACTAATTGAAAACCAAGTAGTCAGATATCCAAATCCATAACTTACTTTGATGTATAATTCATGAAAACCATCAGAGTAAGAAATCAAAAAAAATCATGGAAAAAAACATAAGAGTGTAAATTCATCTCCCGTGACAAAAAGAAATTATCTTGTTACCTTGGAAGGAAGCAAAAGTTGCATTCGACGGAAAAACTATATGCATTTAGTTGTTGAGAAAAAGGAAGAAAAATTAGATTATTGTCTGTGGTGGAACAATCATTTATTTTAGGGTAATTATATATTAAAATCCTAATTATGTAATTTTACTTAATGTTATTTAAGTAAATAAGAAAAGTAGTAAAAATCTTGGTGCACTTAATATCAATAATTTTACTCTTAATTACACATTTAATTGAGCAAAAAGTCATTTTCATCCAATTTTTCAATTAAGTGAAGGGTATTCTCGTCATTTTCCTCTTCCTTCCTCATTTGACCCACTTTTTTTCCTCTTCCTTCCTCATTTGAACCTACTTTCTCCTCTATTAATTTCTCTTAAAACAAACCTTTAGTTTCTTGGGATATGAACACCCAAGAAAAGATTGAGAATACTAGGAAGAAAAAGGAAGGCAACGTGTTGTTTAAGGTCGGGAAATATGTGAGAGTTTCAAAGAGATATGAAAAGGTAATAATTCTCAAAGGATTCTGACTCCATTTGATTTGATAGAAAAGTAGTAATTGCTGTGATCTTTAAGTCATGTGTCCCACACGGAGGATTTTGAACTGAGACTGTTAAGTATGACACCTCTTTTAGCGAGGAGGAAAAGAAATAGTCAAAGCATTGAAGATCATTTGCACCCTGAACAATGTATCTTGCAAATTGAAAGATTATAAGCAGTCAAAGAAGCTGTTTACAAATGTTTGCTCAGCTAGATAATCAATTTCTTTTAATCGCCTTTTCAAATCATGGATTTCATTTGTTTAATGAGGAAAGTGTATAAAGGTGTTGGAACTCGAGAGTACAAATGGGAGGGCACTTTACAAAAAGGCTCAAGCATACATGAACACGGCCAATCTGGATTTGGCCGAATTTGATGGTTCAGAGAAAGAAATAAATGAGAAAATGGATTCAAATAGGGAAGAAAGAGAAAAAATGACAAGAATACATTTCACTTAACAGAGAAATTGGATAAAAAATGACATTTTGCACAATCAAACCTTTGAAAATATTGAACAATGTTGTCAATTTAAGACAATAAATTAATTATGAAAACTCTGCACACGTTTAACTTAACCTTTAATACAGTGTATACTATATTATTAGGTGAAATTCAACGTGAAAAGGGCAGCCAATGGGAACTGATATACCAAGGATGCTAAATTCAAAGCTTTCTCAGCCAGTTATTTTTTTATTGACTAGCTATTTTCTAGCTCCATTTAATTAATGAAAATTTGAGGTATAATAAATTTTAAAATAGTGATTTTTTGAAAAATGTGTAGTTAAAAAATAAAGATTTTTTTCAATTTACGTACAATATTATTTTATAAATGAACGTGGGATTGAAAATGAGTTTTCAAAAAAATAAATTTTTGAAAAAATAGGATCAAACATAGGCTTAAATTTGGCTTTTTAGCCAAAATTGATAAATTGAAAATTCAAACTATTTTTAAAATATTCAATGAAAAGGCCTCACCGGCCATTCAATATTTGACCAAGGAAAAGTCAGTGCGCCACC